TTACTAAAGCACACAAGCAAGGTCGCAGCAAATTTCCAAGGCAAGTCCATTTAACATGGGGTACACTGGCAAGGATTACGATGCGTCAATACCTACTTGGTAATGGCCCTCAGCACTTAGCCTTCTGAGTCACTRAGATTACAGGTGGCCAGGGATATAGTGTGATGGTAGGGTGCTTGCCTAGCTGTGTGAGGCCCTGGATTAGATTCCCTGCATCACAAAAACAAAACCAAAAACAAACAAACAAACAAACTTATTCCAGTGTTTTACATAGCAAAAGAATCATGTCCTGAATAATAACATATTGCTTTTTATGACATCTAATGATTTAATCGTGGCATTTAATATAACATTTATATACTAGAATTCATGGATATAAAAAGCATAAAATAGAACTATTTATAATTTTGAACTTTACATTCCTGTTATGTACATCAGTTTCAGTCCAGGGTGCTTGGAACATAAATGTATTCTCTGTGTGTACATATGTATATATGTGTGTATATACATGTATATATGTATGTACATACATGCACATACACTTTAAGCATAGGAAAATACTACCTAGTTTCTGTATGTATATGAAGTGTCAAATGTTTACCATTTTTTATTTTTGATTTTTAATTATTTTATTTAAAGCCTAACAGTTTTAAAACATAGTGCCGCCTGACGCAGTGGTGCATACCTGTAATCCCAGGAGGCTGGGGCAGGAGGATATGAGTTCAAAGCCAGCCTCAGCAAGGTGCTAAGCAACTGAGTGAGACCCTGTCTCTAGATAAAGTACAAAATAGGGCTGGGAATGTGGCTCTGTGGTTAAGTGCCTTTGAGTTCAATCCCTTGTACCCTCCCACAAAAGAAAAAGAAAAACAGCAGTTCCATGCCAAAAAAAGAGAGAGATGAGAAGTGCTTGTCTTGTAAATAAAAACCTATGTCCAATCAGTCAAAGAAATCCCCAGTTCTGATTGATTGATTGATTGATTGTCTCTTTATTCCTCCTGGAGAGGTAAAGAAATGGGTTTTTTCAAATTTTCTTTATAAAGATTAAGTGACCTAGCTCTTCAGGACTGTGAGTATTGGCTTATAGCAAACTCTGGAATATCTTGGTTACTGGTAGATTTTAGTAGATTTTGAATTGTAAAGAGAAAGGAGAGATCAAAAGGGCAATGGAGGAATAACTCAGAAAAGAAAGACAAAAGGAAGCCCAGGGGCAGAGCTGAAAAACCCAACAGAACTGGGAACTCCCACCCAAGAGGTCCCTTGCTCAGGTACACATTCCAGAGAATAAAGAAACTCACAGTTTTTCTCTGTTCTCTTCAAGAAGAGTAACTCTCCACTCCCTTATCCTTTCCTCATCTGTGCATAACTGGTTAGCTCTACACCTAATTTTTAAAATACCAGTAATTAACATGAACTAGCATTTGTTCTAAATTTGAATTTCAATAATTTGATTTGCTCAACTGTCAAAAGTATGATGTGTCAATAAATTTGATACTTGTTTTAAGATTAAAGTAAATTAATTTTTATTTGAAACATATTTGCTTTTCTTTTTGAAATGTAACCATATACCTTGAGATAAGTTGTTTTATTCTATGTTGTTGTCAAAAAAGCAGGTTAGAGCTGGGTAAAACTGTTCTCCAGAATAGATTTTATATAGTGTACATTCATGTGCTGTTATTCAAAAAAATTTTTTTCTTGTCTAATGAAGGTGAGTTTTTCTTTATTAAGATGTATTACTTTTTTATTATGAAATATATGCTCATTGTAGAAAGTAGCAAAATAAAAAAGAACATGTATTATTCCTTAACTCATAGATATCACTGTCAACATTACTGTATTTTCTATGTTAAAAATTCCTCAGAAATTATTTTTTGACAATTTATACAATCTTCCAAACCTAGAGACCTAATTTATTTAATCATTCCCCTGTTGTTGGATAGCTAGAGTATTTCTAAGTTTTTACAGTTATAAAGAAACTTTTCATGAATATTCTTAAGTGTAAATTAGAATTATTGGTTTTTACTTTCTCTGCCCAAATAAATAAATAGGTTTTTAACATGTTTCAAAACATAACTCTTTTTTTTCCCCCCTTACATAACTTCCCACCCCTTGTAAATTCTCTCTTTCTTGGCACTAATTCTAGGCATCTCATCTCTATAAGTGACCAAAAGTCTAAGGACTTTTAATGCATGGTAAAATGTTTGTCTTGTATCTCATCCCCCTTCAAGGCTCAAGATGTTAACTAGTTAATCTGATGAACTAATTGATGCTTATGGAAGAGGCTCCCAGGTAATTCAAACTTTCCAGAGACAATGGCCCAGCAGGGCCTTTTTGGTTAAGTCATTAGTGAATAGATGGAGATTCCAATTAGGCAAGAAAGGAAGGAAGAGCTGTACTAGAGATAATGATTACATTCCATTTTCTTTTCTACTATTTCAGTCTTCTCTGAAATATCTAAGAATCTTCAGTCTTCCCTATTTCTTTCTGAGTGGTTGAGGATAGAATACTACAACCAGAGGAGATGAATGATATCTGATATTATATATGATAGAAAACAAATAATAGTTTATATGATCTAACTATATTAAAAGGCAAGGTAAAATTGGCCATATTGTTAGCCTTTAATACCTAGGTCTTCTCTACCTATTATAAGACTTAGTAGGTCCTAGAGAAATTATACAATGTAGAAATTCCATGGTTCTGGGCATTGGGCAGGCCTAGGTCTAATCCCATCACTACCTTTAGTTATTTTGTAACCTGAGACAAATCACAGCAATTCTCTAATCTCCCCCTGTCTTACTTATGAAATTACTATAAAGTATCTTCTCTAAGAGTATTGATTCTGACCCCAGAAGTCATCCCATTTAGGATCACTCAGGTGGTATTATTAGGACTTTGTTGATATGGACATGCTAACTCCTTTTTCTTGTATTTTTATCAAATTGTTTTGATATTTAAAAGCAGAGTGCTGAAATGCTCTTTATTAAGTCATTTTTAAACATACAAATAAAGTGTTTGTACCCTCTTACAGTGGCAGCTGAATCCATCTGGAGCTTATGATCTTGAAGAAAACGAGCCTGAAAGGAGAGAAAGTAAGTATCTCAAGTCCTCTGTGGAGGCTAACTACTGGAGGCCAGCTGCTGAGGAAAATGGGCACTTGGTGAATGTCAAAGGTCAAGTGACGGAGTTGTTTTGTTAATAGATGAATCATATTCTTTATACAGATTAGATGTTTGTCTTTCAATTTATTCAAAAATATTTGCATATCTACTATATGCAAGATGCYGGGGAAAGTACCTATTAATAATTATTCCTATAGATTCTGCAGTTTAATACAAATAATCATGACAAATTGAATTTATAAATTTATATGAAACAGTAAAGAACAATTCTTGTTTATACCAAAACAAAGGCTTCTTGGGTGTGAGAAATGAAAAATATATATAATTAGTGCAAATGGATCTAGGAAGAAGTGATGAGGACAGCGGTACTTGTATCCTTCTAGAGTAAAGCCACAGGTGCTCAGGTTGGTCAGAGAATGGACATGTTCTGTTATTTTAATAATCTGATTAAGAATCATCAGAGATACCATAAGTAAATTACTAGTCTTAAAAGTTTTATTATTTGCACACTARCACAATTATTTTGATAATAGTAATATAATCTTTAGGAGATCCAATTTAAAAATAGTAGCTGGGTTATAATTGTAGAGTCTAGATAAATGGAAGTGTACTATAAATTTTCTTGATAACAATGGATTGATTACCCTGAAACATTAAAAAATATGAAGGTCTCTAYGAAAATATGAATGTTTTGATTTTCTGTGATCTGAATTAGCTTTATTTTATTCAGACAGTAAATTTATTATTGGCAGTCTGAAAAAAATACATAGTCACTGTTTTTTCTTTTTAAAAAAATTATCAAGAAAAAAAGTAGTGGGAAAAATAAAGGAAAATATAACTGATTAAAGATAGTATTTTTAATGACACTGTTTGAAGCTCAATTAAAAATTTCCTAAGGTAGGAAAAGGAAACAGAAAGATGAACTATATTGTCTGTGTTAAAAGCATCTTTTCATCAGAAGATGCCATCCACGGCATGAAATAGAAAGTATTTACTACTTAGAGCCAATGATAGGTCTTTATCCAGGATAAAAGTCCTGAGATTGGAAGGAGGGGACAGAAGAAGGTATCTGGTTCACTGGCAATGTTTTATTTATYGACCTAGATAATGGCTAAATGTATGTTTACTTTTTGACAGTTCATTAAACTGTATGTTTATGTTTTCATGCATTTTTAACAAGTGTTTTATGTTAGTAAATAATATCCTTATCGCCTTTTCAATTATATGACAGCTTTATTAAGATATTCATATATCAAAAATTCACCCCTTTTAGAGTCTAGAATTCTGTCAATTTTACTATGTTCAGAATTGTGCAGCCATCACCACAACCCAATTTCACAACATTTTCATTGACTTAAAAAGAAACCTTGTACTCATTTCAGTCGCTCTCCCCCAGCCCTAGGCAACCACTGGTCTACTGTTAAGTTTTTATGGATTCATCTAGTCTGGCCATTTCATATAAATGGAATCATACAGCATGTGGCTCCTTTCCAGTTTTTCATTCTGTGGAGAAGCAGACATAAGAATCAAACAGATGAAAGTTGAAATCCCAGCTTTATTGCTGGGCTGAAGCTTGACCTTTGGCCAAATCAATGTATCGCACTCTGGGAGGCAGTGGGGGTTGCTGCCTCAAGTCCTGTCAAGGCCAGCACCAGGAATGGAAGCCGAAGGCAAGTAGCAGTGCGATGGACTGCTGGCTCTCAGGTGTCCTCCCCGCTAGAGAGCTGGAACCCAGATAACACAACTCAGGCTTTCTTTGCAAAGAATTGTTGGGCTTTCAAGGAAATGAAGGAACTATCCAGGAATGCATCCTTCCTTCCAAAAATAAATAAATAATAAAGAGAGATAAGAGGAATATTTGTCCGAACATAAAAAGCAACAGTAAGCAAACACATAAGCCAATGTCCATAGCAGCTGGGCTCTTGAGAGGAAGTGAGGGGTCTGCTGCAAGATTACAAACTGAACCTCAGKCTGGGAGTCCTTAAAGGAAGCTAAAAGACCCCCTCTCAGCAGTACCTCCTGAGAATGGCAGAAGCAAATGCAGATTCTGTTAGAAGGAAAACCTTCCCAGCTGAGGCCCACAGGGTATAATGAGTCCATTAGTTCATTACTGAAAAGTCAACAAATAGAAGATATATCCCCATGATCGAGACTGAACAGAAATGGCAAACAGCATAGTGAGACTCCTGAGGACTTCCTGTTCTGGTGTTATCAACTAGACAGTATAAAATGTTTAAGAAGTAAAATATACTTTAAAAAAAAAACAATCTAAAATAAACAAGCCATTAAAAAAATCAAATCTGAGCTGGGCGTAGTAGCGCTTGCCTGTAATTCCAGAGACTCCTGAGCCAGGAGGATCACAAGTTCGAAGTCAGCCTCAGCAACTTATTGAGGCCCTAAAAAATTTAGTAAGACCCTGTCTCAACATAAAACTCTTTTAAAGGACTGGGGATGTGACTGAGTGGTTAAGTGCTCCTGTGTTAAATCCCTAACATTTAAAAAAAAATGTTTAGTACAGAGTTGGTAATTTTGAAAAGAATCTGATAGAATTTGGAGAAAAAAAAAATCCAGAGAGCCATATTATATAGGTACTTTAAAAAAAATTTTTTTTGTAGTTGTAAACAGAACACCTTTATTTGTTTATTTTTATGTGGTGCTGAGGATCGAACCCAGTGCTTCACGCATGCCAGGCAAGTGCTCTGCCACTGAGCTACAGCCCCAACCCCCTAGATAAGTACTTTTATTAATGCTGCTACATAGATGAGGAACCAAGACTTACAGAGGTCAAGGCTCTAAACCACCAGAAATGAAATTTGAGACCAGGTCTTGAGTTCTAGAAAGTGCATCTTGTACATTGCTTTTTGTTAATAACTACCTGGTCCAGCCCCTTTGTTAGAAGTGGTTAGAGGATCAGAGAGGGCAGAATGGCTTGCCCAAGGTCAGTTCCTGACAGGTCCAGTTTTCCAAGATTTTCAGTGTTCTTTCTAACAGGTTGCCCAAGTGTAATCTAGAATTTAAAGAAAAGGCAGTTCAAGATTGGATACTTGCTATAAGTTGAGAGGCTTGTTTTTTCTTCCATTAATTGCTTTGAGTCCCATTTTACAGGCATTATCATCTTTGGGACCAATATAGTACTTCCATGGGTATATCTTGGCATAAAGTGTCAGGGGAAAGAGAGAGAAACGCTGAAATTGAAGGTAAAGTGCACTTGCTAAGTTCCAGGTGATGATTTTACATGGAGAGCATTTTATGAAACGTGTCTACCAGAGTCATCTCATGGAATCCTCTCATGCTTTGGGGAAGCATCCTCATTTCCTAGGCATGCTGATAATACCTTCTTGTGGATTATTGCAATTTATCTCTGCAGTAACCCTCTATGATAGATGTTATTATCTTCATTAGGCAAATAAAGAAGCTGAAGCTCCTTGAAGTGAAGTAACTAGACCAAAGATCTACACCCCATGAGTGGTAAAGCCAGAATTCAAAGCTCAGTAGTCTATTTCTAGAATCCATGCTCTTCTGCTTTGTCATATCACCACTTTAAACCAGGAAGAAGAATCAGAAATGTCTACCTTGGTGAGGAGAAGTGTCCAGGAAGTGGTGAAGTGTGTCTTGATGTGTTGCGATCATGGGAGTCAACCAAACCACAGAATGTAGAACCAGTGGTGGAAAGCACAGCGACACATATCGTGGCTTGACAAAGAGAAAAACTCTCAGTGATAGTCTGAATTGTCCAGAATTGTCCTCCCTCATGAGGCAGTAAGCTCCCTGTCACCATGGAGGTGGGAGCACAAGATGTCACAGGAGGAATATTGATGGGTACCCTCCCTCCATGTAATGCTTTGATTGAGGTGGCATTTAGGAGGCAAGCATCTCTCTCTCCCAAGGGATGTTTGTAAAGAGACTAGAGATATTTCACTTGCACAGAAAGGAGTTTGGGGGAGAAAGAATCTATGTTACCATGGTCCAAGGAACTACATCAGGACCTTCTCTGGTTCTCTTAACTGGAAAAGATCTCTCTCCTGCACATTCCTATATCATGTTATACTCAGACTTCTCTTATAACACTGACAAAAAAAAGTACAGTTGGTAAAAAGTCCGTGGATGAGTTAAGCCACTATTTACTAAAGGGCACACTGTTGGTATTTTGATTGATAAAGCTTTCTAGTTCGGGGCATTGCCCCATGGATTATGGGACATTTAGCATCCCTAACAGAGCGGGCCATGCAAATCACAGGCGCGATGATAAACTATTTAATATGTAGTGCTGGAAAATGGTTAATGCATGTAGAAAAACTGATAATGAATTTTTACCTCACATAATACTCAAAATTCCATATGAATTAAAGAGACAAATTTCAAGTTTTAGAAGAAAATACAGAATTTTTTATGACCTGAAATAGGAAGAACAACTTATGCAGAATACAAATAATGCTGACTATAAAAGAAAAACTTGACAAATTATAGAATACATTCCAGATAAGGGCTTATCTTCTCCAAAAGACATTATAAAGAAAGTGAAAGGGAGCTGGGGTTGTGGCTCAGCGCTCAGCGGTACAGTACTTTTGAGGTCCTGGTTTCGATCCTCAGAACCACATAAGATTAARTAAATAAAAAAGAAAGAAATTGAAAGGACCAGTCATCCCCTGGAAGAACAGATTTTCCACTAACGTAAAAAAATTCTACTAACTGATAAGGATAAAAATTAATAGAAAAATGTTACTTTTTGGTATTTACATCAGCAGAAATGTAAATGTCTGATAAACATATGAAAGATGATCATACTCAGTAGTGGTCAGAGAAAGGCCAATTAAGATCACATTGAAGCAATGTTTTTATACCTATTGGATTTATACAATTCAAATTTGCCAATACCAACTGCTGGTGAGGATGTGGATTATTAGAAATTTTTATATGTTGCTAGGGAGATTGAAAGTTTTACAGCCACCTTGGAAAATAATTAGACATTATCTTTGTAAAGCTGAACATGCATGTATGTACTCCATGACCCAGTAATTTCAACTTCTAAGAAATCTTGCATCTTGTATAAAAGACTAAAGTATAACAAATTCATTGCAATGTTATCCTTAAAAACAAAAACTGAAAATGACACAGATATTTAGCTTGTGAGATTACATTTAAAATATAGTATATTCTCACAATGAACTACAACATAACAGTGAAAATAAGTGAACTATTGCTACATTCTTTGACACAGGTGAATCTCAAAAAGATAAATGTTGAACAAAAAAATACAGAAGACTATCTTTTGAATTTCTGTATAAAGTTTAAAAAGAAGCCAAATAGCATATTGTTTAATGTATGTAGTAAAATCGTTAAGAAACAATAGAAAGATAAACACAAAATTCAAGATAGTGGTTACATCTGAATGGGGAGAAGGGATGAGAAGAGAGAAGAAGGCAACTGATAATGTTGTAGCTATTATTTGGGACAGTAGCTTTTAATTTTTTCTCTTCTATGCAAACAGTTACTGCAAATTTAAGCAAGATAATTATTTGGAGCAGTAGATTCTTAAGTGTTTATTTTATTAATGGGCTTTAGACCTCCCTTCTGTATTACATATATTCTCTTTTTTTATGTTTCAAATATTACATAAAAAGACAATTGAGAGAGGGGGGCTTCCAGATCCACTCTGGAAGGCAAGCCAGAACCTGGTCCAGGTGTCCTTGGGACTGGGAAACAGCAGAGCGGAACACACCGGCTTGGAGGGCAGGCAGATACCTCAAGAGCACAGAAGCAAAGGGCAGGAGGAGACTTGCAGGTGACGGGTGTGTTCATTGACTTGACTGTGGTGGCGGTTTCATAGATGTGTACCATGTCAAACTCATCAAACTGAACACTGTAAATATGCTCAGTTTATTGTATACTTTAAACACATAAGAGGTTGTTTGGTACCAACAAAGCTAGTAAAAAGAAAAGCCAGGAAGGTGTTAAGGCAGGCTTTTCTCCCAGCCTGCCCTGTTGGATAAGGCCACTTTCCGTACTTAGAGGAATAGGAGTGGGAGAGTCCCCCTGTACTCCCTGCCCCACAGGTGCTGCCATCCTCTCTCTGGAGGATAAGTAAGTGCATTAATTTTCGAGGTCCTGATTTCGATCCTCAGCACCACATAAGATTAAATAAATAAAAAAGAAAGTGAAAGGACCAGTCATCCCCTGGAAGAACAGATTTTCTACTAACATTAAAAAAAAAAAAAATCTTTGWWACCAGTGTGATCACCAACAGGGATTGATTTCTGTTTCTTCCAGCCTAATAATAGTGCCTTTCCCCCCAAAAAAAGTAGTATTTAGTATTTGCCGTATACTGTGGAGTGAATCCAGTTTTTTAAAAAATCACCAGACATTATATTACCTTTGAGTTATCTAGACTCAGTATTGATTGGAGAAACAAACATTTAAGTGGAATATTGAAGCAGTTGAGAATTTGAAGGTAAAGTAAAATGAATGGTCCTTTACCTGAAGCATTGTTTTGCTCTTCCAACTTGTGTGCCTGCAGCAAGTCCCCATGAGTTCAAAGTGATGTTTTCTGACATGAAGTTGTTCTTGCATGATAGACGGTGTGTTGAGAGCCCTGCCTGGGAGTGAGGAGCAGCACCGCAAGAAGCTATGTCTGGGAAAGCCCTCGGAGGGCCTCTCTACGCTGCAGTGACGGCCTCAGGAGTTGGTTGTTGCACCTCTAAAGTTCAGCCTTGTTAACTCAGAAAATGAGGATGGATTTCGTGAACCATTGAAAAGTTTGTTAGGATATGAATTATGTTGATGAGGACATTTTTATTTTAGACTTATTTGTGTATTTTTCAGAATATGGCAATGTGTTTAATGCTTTAATGAGATCAGTGTCATCACCAACAGGGATGGATTTCTGTTTATCTCAGTTTCTATTTATACAGCCAGTTTGAAAGGGGCTGGCTCACTGGAGTCATATCTCAACAGGGAATTGCATATCTTTYGAGAAGTATTAATTCCTTTGGATTACAAGGGTGACAATTAGTAAATTGTCCAGGGAAATAAGTGACAATCTGTTCATATTTTAAGAATCCATGTATAGATAACCAGAAGGGTCATGTTTATACCTAAAATCATTCTAGCATTCAAAAATTACTTAATTGGGACTGTCTTAAAGTCTCCATTTTGAAACTATATTTTTAAAATTAGTAATCTCTTAGGCTGGAGGTCTAGCTCAGTGGTAAAGTACTAGCCAGCATGTATGAAGCCCTGTGTTTCATTCCCAGCACTGCAAAAGTAAGTAAGTAAATAAATAAATAAGATGTTAATTTCTCCTAAATTTTTATTTCACAGTGATTGTTTGACTAGAGGCCAGTTACACTACAATTTTGGGTAGCAATAGAAAGAGAAAGTTATTCTGAGGCAGTGTTGCTGTTTGATGTCACTAAATCTTGAGATTACTGGCAGTAAGTCTCAAATTTGGTCATTATGTAAATAGAAAAATATGTGAATGAGGGATATTGAAACCAGCATTTTTAGAATTCCATTAATAAATGCTTTCCCCAATATAATTTTCCCCTCCATATGACCAATACAGTGTCTAACTGCAAAAGGGAGGCCTGCTAGGAATATTTGCAAACCTCAAGAACACTCAAAGCCTTAAAAGTAAACACATCCCTTCTGAATTTTTCTCTGATTTCTTTTTTCGCAGTGCTGAGGATTTACTCCAGGGCCTTGAACATGCTCGGCATGTGCTCTACCATTGAGTCAGGTCCCTGGCCTACACCCCCCCCCTTTTCTTTTAGTTCTCGGTGGACACAACAGCTTTATTTTATTTGTATGTGGTGCTGAGGATCAAACCCAGCGCCCCGCGCATGCCAGGCGAGCGCGCTACCGCTTGAGCCACACCCCCAGTCCCTCCCCTGCCCCTTTTTAAATTTTATTTTGAGACAGTATCTGGCTAAGTTGCCCAGGCTGGCCTTAAACTTGCAATCCTCCTGCCTCAGCCTCCCAAGTAGCAGGGATTATAGGTGTCAATGTACCTGGCTGATTTCTTCAATTTTTATTTGCTAAGAAACTCAGAAAATTAGTCTGAAGAATCATCATGTTTTAGACTTTCCTGGTGTTCGGAGGAAGGCCAACAGCCCTGGGGAGTGATGCTTCTTGAGAAGGCTGGAGGACTGGGAAGAGGTGGTGAGATTTGCCCTTTTTTGTCCCCGTCCTTTCCACAGCAACACGTGGGGCCTCCTACCACTTTTTCAGTTAGGCACAGGACAATCCAAGTGTCAACCAGATGCCTGGCTTRCACAGCAGCCTGCTTAGGTCCACTGAGAATTCAAAGTCATCATACCACACAGTTGAGAACTGCCAAAAACATTTTCCATAGACATAGATCATGGAAGATGGAGTGTGTGTGTATGTGTGTGTGTGRGGGGGTACCTTTAAAGACAACTAATGCTAATTTGAAAAACACTAGTTAAGCTATTCTTTAATACTTATCAACATAAAAACTCCATTTAATCCCTAGCACCACAAGAAAAAAAAAATTCTAAGATTGCTCATCTCCCAAATTGCTTTATTATTGTAATACAAGCATAAGTTCTTTGATTTATTGTTTTATACTACTAGTTCATCTGTGCTRAGTAGTTTATACACCAATCAACAAATATTTTGTGAGACTCAAAAGTCAAATATATACTGCCAGAATTATGGATTTTTGTATTGGGGTGGGATATCAGAAAGGAAAGTATATAATCAGGAAACTATGGAAATAAAACATTGATATTTCATGGAAAGAGCCTCATAGAGGTCACAGTGCTGAGCTGTTTCATTATCCAAACACCAGGGTTGAGGTGAACTGAGAGAAAGCAGAGGAGGTGGAGATCACTCTGTGAGGGGTAAGGGAAAATGATTGGGTTGCCCCCAAGCATTGCAGAGCTGGACCCAGAACCCACCTGGGTTTGCAGAAACTATATGTGGCAGTGTTGACTCAGCTCTGCAAAATCCCAGGCAAGAGATTTCATCCCTCAGCAAGTTGAAGAAGATAATGGTAAATTCATTCTTAGTAAAGAATAGCCCTACTGGAGGTGGCTAAGCACTCACCTGGTTTACTTCATGTCTGTAATGGGAGTAGATACAGGTTTATGTGTTTTTATTGTATCACTGGTAAAAYTTTTTTAATCTGGCTTTTCTATTTTTTCTACCTCAACTTAGTTTGAAAATATGCCATTTACTCATAAGGCTTCCTCTTTTTATTCATGAATGGGTCCGTCCTAGGATTGATCATAACAACCTATTTTTGACACACTTTTGAGTATTCCTTAAGAGTCCTGGTATTGCCTGTAATGGTCACATGGCAATGAGCTGAGCACATTGCTAGTATGTTTTAGAACTAAAGTAAACATCAATGCAGTATTTTTATTTCATGTGTAACATCCCTGAAGTCTTGTTGCTCTTTTGCTATCATTATTATAAAATATTTCAGATACATAAAAATACAAATAGTTATAACAAATACTTTACTCATGTACTTAATATGCAGAATTAGTATATGTTACCACTTGGGAGTTTAGTCCTRTTTTGAGATCTGAGGTAGAACCTTTCTTTGCGTCTTTTCTACATTTGCTTGAGAGCACATTGTGGTTTTCTAAAAGATCATCCATGCTCACTGCAGGGCAGCAGGGTTTTAAAATCCACCCTAGAGCCTCCAAGGACTGTTACCTAGACAGCTGAGATTAAGCCTCCTTTTTTWWAAATTWTTTTTAAGTTGTCAATGGACCTTTATTTTGTTTTATTTATATGTGGTGCTGAGAATTGAATCCAGTGCCTCACACATACTAGGCAAGCACTGTACCATTGAGCTTAGGAGCCCCTAAGCCTCCTTTTAAAACATTCTTTATAGTCTTTCTGCATCTGATTTCTTAATTCTCTAATAATTCTATGATAGTTTTCCTAAGAGGAAACCAGCTGCCTGTGTGTGAGGTAGGGGAGGTCTACTGGGCCAAGGTTTTCTGACTCCTCTGGTGGAGCAGACCCCCTACCAGGTACGCCTGGCCTGCAGCAGAACCTGGTGGCAGAAGTGTCCTCACCCTCACTTGGGATCGGGAGATCTGCCTTACCACCTGGGAAGGAGATTCTGAGTTACAGCCCCTGAAACGCAGGCTTCCTGTCTCTGGCTAACATTTAGATGTTTGGAATCATTTATTTATTCAACTCCTGGGCACCCTACGCTAGGCTCTCAGCTTGAAATGAAAAGTATAATTTGATTTGGATACTTTTTGAAACAGAAGAAATATAAATCTTAATTCACAAAATGGAATTTTGAAAAGTTTGATTCATCCATTAATAGACTACTCTGAAAAAAAAATTTTGCTGAAGTTTACACAAAGCAATGAGGTATTCAGAAATTTTTCTCAATTTTGAAACCTTTTATTGATATCCTGGAACCGTTGTGTTGGCTTTGCTACAGTTTTGTTTTTATAACAYAAGGAAATCAAGTTGGACCAGGGTTTCTCAGACTTGGCACAATTGACACTTGGGATTCTGATATTCTGTGAAGCTGCCCTGTGCATTGTAGAATGTTAGCCACATCCCTGGCCCCMAGTGAAAACCACTGACATAAAAAAGTTTGTATATAACTGCAAAAACCTATGTTAGGCCTAAGAACATCTCATTTAGTATAACAATTGCACTGGGGGCTTTTTATGATCAGGGATCAAAATCTGAGGATGACCAATTCCTCAGAATCATCTTTTAAAAGTCTTTAAAAATTATGTTTATGCTGGGTACAGTGGTACATGTCTGTAATCCTAGCAGCTTGGGTGTTGAGGCAGGAGAACTGTAACTTAGCAAGGCTGTAGGCAAACTAGTGAGACCCTGTCTTAAAGTAAAAAATAAAAAGGGCTGGGGATGTGGCTCAGTGGTTAAGCACTTTTGTGTTCAATCCCCAGTACAAAAATACACACCCACACCCACATATATATATATATGTGTGTGTGTGTGTGTGTGTGTGTGTGTGTATATATATATATATATATATATATATATCTGTAGGTAAAAAATAAGTTTGCATTTTTCTCCAATTTTTGCTTTTGTTCCTCCTTCAGTACCAAGGATTGAATGCAAGGCCT